CCCGTATGACTGTCCTATTGACCTGTTACCTGGTTTAGAAATTCCCTTTGGGCGAATTTTTCCCCTTTCTGAGCTGGAATTAGGGGCCCTGAAGGACTATATTGAGGACAGCCTCCGGAAGGGATTCATCTGTCCCTCCACTTCCCCAGCAGGTGCAGGGATCTTTTTTGTAGAAAAAAAGGATAAGACTTTAAGGCCATGTATTGACTATCGGGAACTGAATAGGGTCACAATCAAGAATCGTTACCCATTACCACTGGTACTGGAATTATTCCAGAGCTTAAAGGCTGCAGTAGTATTTACCAAGCTGGACTTAAGGGGAGCCTACAACTTGGTTCGCATAAGGGAGGGGGATGAGTGGAAAACGGCCTTCCGCACCCGTTCTGGCCATTTCGAATACCTGGTCATGCCTTTTGGGTTGTGCAATGCACCGGCCACCTTCCAGCACTTTGTAAACGACATCTTTAGGGACTTCCTGGATATCTTTGTCATCGTTTACTTAGACGACATTTTGATTTTCTCATCCTCCCTGGGGGAGCACAGGGTACATGTAGCAAAGGTGTTGGGGCGGTTGCGGCAGCATGGGTTGTACGCTAAAGCAGAGAAATGTTGCTTTGAACAGGCTAGCATTACATTTCTGGGCCTGATTATCTCCACCGCGGGGGTCGCAATGGACCCTCAGAAAGTCTCTGCGATCCTAGATTGGCCTGAACCCACGGACAGGAAAAGTGTCCAACGATTCATTGGGTTCGCAAACTTCTACCGGAAGTTCATCAAGAACTTCCCAGGCCTGGTCTCCCCCATCACTCAGTTAACCAAGCTTGGGACACGATTCAGATGGACACCAGAGGCACAGGAAGCTTTTGACGCATTAAAGAAGTTATTCACCTCGGCACCCATTCTGGGTCACCCTGACGCCTCCCTACCCTACATCTTAGAAGTTGATGCGTCAGAGAACGCGGTTGGCTCCATTCTTTCCCAGCGAAAGGGCGCCAAGGAATTACTTCACCCAGTAGCATTCTTCTCACGGAAACTTACCCCTGCGGAGAAGAATTATGACATCGGCGATCGAGAATTACTGGCTATCAAGACCGCATTAGAGGAATGGAGGTACCTGCTGGAAGGTGCCTCACACCCCATCCTGATATTCACAGACCACAAGAACCTGGAATATCTGAGGACCGCCAAACGTTTGCGCCCACGACAAGCGAGATGGGCATTGTTTTTCTCGAGGTTCCATTTCCATATCACATACAGGCCGGGATCAAAAAACACGAAGCCAGACGCATTGTCGCGCATGTACGAGGACGCCAAGGAGATCCCAGTACCGGACACTATTCTGCCTGCAGGAAACTTCTTGGCCCTCCAGACGAACCTTCGCTCCGAGATAATGAGAGCATCCACAGCCATGTCTACCCCGGATGGGGCGCCCCTCCAGAACAAGGGGGGACTCCTATGGAGGGAGGACCGGATTGTGGTGCCGGAGGAAGCCCGAACCCTAGTCTTGGGACATTGCTACGACCACCCGATGGCAGGACATTTTGGCCCGGTCAAGACCCTGGAACTTCTCCGACATTCCTTCTGGTGGCCAGACATGGCCAAGGATTGTAAGAGCTACGTGGGCTCCTGTGTCATCTGCCAGCGGAACAAGCCTTCAAGGAATAAGGCGTGGGGTCTGCTACGTCCATTAGCCATCCCTGAACGGCCTTGGCAGAAGATCTCTATGGACTTCATAGTCGAGCTTCCACCTTCACTTGACCACACAGCAATTCTCGTGGTCGTGTACCGTTTATCCAAGATGGCCCATTTTATACCATTACGGAAGACTCCATCGGCAGCCGAGACGGCGCAAGTTTTTATTCGAGAGGTTGTAAGATTGCATGGGGTCCCTGAAGACATCGTCTCGGACCGAGGGGTGCAATTTACCTCGAGATTTTGAAGGGCATTGTGCAAAGCCCTGGATATCAAACTATCCCTTTCCTTGGCTTTTCACCCTCAGACCAATGGACAGACCGAAAGGACCAATCAGACCCTGGAGCAATACTTGCGATGCTACACATCTTTTACTCAGGACGATTGGGTACCACTTCTCCCTCTGGCGGAATTTGCGTATAACAACGCTTGCCATTCAGCAACAGGGCAGTCCACGTTCTTCTCCAACTATGGGTTTCACCCTGTCTTCCTCCCGGATTTGGTCCCGGAGTGCCCAATTCCAGCAACACAGGATGCACTAACCTTTTTCTCTTCAAACAATAAGAAACTACAGGAAGCCATCAGTCAGGCCCAAGAAGATTACAAAAGGGCTTTTAATAGGAAACGAAGAGGAGATCTGGTGTTGCAGCCCGGAGAGAAGGTTTGGCTGGCAGCCTCTAACTTGAAGATGCTCTGCCCTTCAAAAAAGTTGGGACCTAAATTTATAGGCCCTTTTTGCATTAAGCGGATGGTCAATGAAGTGGCCTATGAACTTGTTGTCCCTGAGACACTCAAGATCCACCCAGTCTTCCACGTGTCCCTGCTGAAGCCGGTAGTCCCTGATGCCTTCCCGGAATGGGAATCCAGGCCCCCGGAAGCCGTAACAGTTGAAGAGGAAGAAGAATTTGAGGTGGAATCAATCCTGAAGTGCCGACGAAGGGGGGGCCAGACCCAATTTCTTATCAAGTGGAAGGGCTACGGCCCTGAGGACAATTCTTGGGAACCAGCCCATAATGTCCATGCACCCAGACTTGTCCGGAGGTTTCTTTGTGACCACCCGTGGTGGAGAGATCGGGTGGGCATCTGGAGGTTGCCTGTAGGGGGGGGGGCAATGTCAGGGATCCCCTCGATCCCCGCCGCGATGGTCCCGGCGCAGGCGCAGTGCACCGCCCTGTGCAGGGACACGGGCACTAGGTCCGGGCCGGCCGCAGTGTTCGCGCATGCGCAGTAGAAGCCGCGGCCGCCCGCTGGGCACCAATGGCAGCGCAGGGTGGGATATTTAAATGTCCCTGAGCTGTCATTCCAGTGCCTTCTGGTCTTACCTGTATCCTGTGATTCTGAACCTGTGCCTAAGTAAGTTATTGACCCGGATTGCTTTTGACCTGCTGATTTCTCCTGCCCAGACCCTTGCTTTGCCTGACCTCTCTTTCTGAATGCCCCTCATTAGTTCTGACCTACTGTTGCTGACCTGGCGTGTGGCCCGACGATTCTCTGCCCGCTCCCTTGTACCTTACCGTCCTCTCCGTCACCAACTCGGCCCGTCTGACTTCGCACTTGCTCAGCCATCCATCCATCCCAACGGGGTTACCCGACCTCCTCACATCTGGCTCTCCCTGGTTGGAGCCCCTGGCGAACACCCCTACCACTGACAGGTGTGCTCAGTAGTGGCGACCTGGTCCCGGGGTACTCCAAGTCCATCCCCACCATCAGGGGCTCTGGTGAACAAGTACCCTGGGGCTTAGACTCCGCACTCTGGGCACGCCTGACCGGTGGAGTGCTAGTGGTGCCGCTCGGCGGTCCCTCACACTATGGCTTACTTGCAGTTCCTTGAACGCCAAGCAGCGGCGGACAGAGAGGAACGCCAAGCAGCGGCTGACAGAGAAACTGCAGAACGCCAAGCTGAGAGAGAGGTGGTGCAGAGGGAAGCTGATCGTCAACACGAGCTGGAGATGGCGAGACTCCAGCAGCAGCAGCGACTGGGTCAGAACCTCAGGTCCCTAGATCACAGGGACGCCACACTTTCCGTGGGCGCAGCCAAGTTTCCAGTGATGGAAAAAGATAGTGACATTGGCACGTACTTGCTGTCATTTGAAAAAACGTGCAGTCAGTACCATGTGCCCCAAACACAATGGGCTCGGTACCTGACCCCAGGGCTATGAGGCAAGGCCCTGGATGCGTTTGTAGAACTGCCAGAGGGGCAGGACGACGACTATGAAGCCTTAAAAGATGCCATCATCCAGAAGTACCAGATGACCCCAGAAGTGTACCGCAAGCGGTTCAGGTCCATGCAGAAGGGACCTGGGGACTCTTACAAGGATGTGGCAAGTCGCTTACGCACCACATTCTGACAGTGGACTAAGGGACTGAAAGCTGATTCCTATGAATCTTTGGAAGATCTCATGATATGAGATCAACTCTTGCACATTTGCCCGGCAGACGTCAGACAGTTCGTCTTGGAGAGGGAGCCAGCATCTACTAAAGCTGCAGCAGATCTGGCAGATACCTTTGTCCATACCCAGGTGTCTGACCCCCGCAAGGCTCCTCCAAACAGCTGGAAAGGGGAAAATTGCCCCTAGCAACCTCTCCTACTTTGGTGAGTCAAGCTTCTCCTCCGCCCACACCTGCAGCGCTTGGAGCCAAGCCATTCCTGCCTGACACCCGCAGATGTTTCACCTGTGGGAAAGCCGGACATCTCAGGACGCAGTGTCCTGAGCAGAAGCAGACAACATTTGATGAGAAGGTCTGGGGTCTGACACCGCGATCGTGACGTATTGGTGGTCGCGGTCGTGAGATTGTCGCATGTTGGTGGCGGCTGACCCTGGCTGGGAGGGGCGCTAACTGACCCAGCTGCTATCTGCTGTTGCTAGTGGCAGGAATACAGTGATCAGTGAAAAATTCTATATGCTGACACTGTACTAATGGCACTGGCTGGGTGACGGGGCGATCAAAGGGTTAAAAAAGGAAATCTAAATGTTAAATGTACTAATCTAACGTGTGTGTAAAATGTAGTGCTCTTACTCAGTGCCATGTTCGTTCTTCTCTCCCTGGAGCGACACTGGGGGCAGCGGGGGGTGCGCGCATGCGCAAACACACCTGGAAATAGAAAGTGACGTAAGGGTATGTCTCTTTGCCCAGAGCAGCTGCTCACCTGCAAATTGTGAATGGGCAGCAAGTAGTTTAAAAAAAAATGTATTTGAAATGTATCTCAATATTTTTATTTTTTTTTAAACATTATTTTTCTTTTATTTTACTATTTTAAAAAAGAAAAATCATCAGGGATTTTTTTTTTTTTTTACACTTTGCAATGTAATGTTTGCTTTGAACTGTCATGGATGGGTTAAGTTTATGGTAGTTCAAAATACAGTGATCTGTGATTGGGTGCAGCTGTCACATGGTACAGGGTGCTGTGATTGGTCCCGTGCAGGGGCGGACTGACCATTTGGGAACTTGGGCACTGCTCTTGGGCCCGGGGTCAATAGGGGGCCTCTGAGATGCCTCTGGTACCTTTTTCATAGGCTTTTTTGAGTGTGGTTTGAATGTGGGTGAGAGCACAGGGGCCCCATGATCCCCTGTTGCCCGAGGGGCCCCATGAGTTGTCAGTCCACCCCTGGTCCCGTGTACCATGTGAGAGCTGTGTTCCAATCACAGCTCACCAGGAAGAGAAGCAGAGCTGTTATGAATCATTATGAATCAGATTGATTCATAACAGCTTTGTTCTCATTGTAATCATTTTATCACCAGGTCCTGTTCTCCGGCAGACATAGGGGGGAGAAGGGTTGCGTGCCCGCTCAGGCACGCAGCGTTCCCCCTTTGTTGGTACAACACCAGTGACGTACGGGTATGTTGCTGGTCCTGTAGCTGCCACTCGTTCATATTACATTCCGGACGGGCAGACGGAAAGTGGATATTTAAGGTGAGATTTATTTACAGTGAACAAAAGACAAGCACACACCAGCAAGCAGTAAACATAAACTAAAATGAACAAAACAAACAGTGACAAAGTACCTGGACTAATAAACCTAACAAACAAAACAGCTAGCTATATACAATATATACAAATAAGATAAACACAAGGCATGGGAAAACTGGAGGAGAAGGGAGCGCATGGGAAGGGGGAACAAAACTGGGAAAAGGAACAACAAAGGGCAGGGAACAAGGCAGGAGCAAGATCGGGGGACACAAGGTCTGGCAGCAGCAAAATCAGGCTGTCAGACAAGCTAAAGCAAAACACTGACACAAGGTGAACTAGCATACAAGAGGCCTAAAGTATTACTAAACCCATGACTCTGCATTTGTCATATCTGGTCTCCCACAGTACACAGAAAATGGAAATGCAATTATTTTAGTAAACATAAACTGCTAAATACCTTTTTTCCTCAGCAGTTAGAGCAGTCTTGTGACCAGGGGCGGACTGACAACTCATGGGGCCCCAGGGCAATAGGGGATCATTTGGGGCCTCTGTGTCCTTTCCCAAACTCAAAGCCTATGAAAAAGGTACCAGGGGCATCTCATGGGGCCCCCTACTGACCCTGGGCCCTTGGGCAGTGCCCGAGTTTCCAAATGGTCAGTCCGCCCCTGCTTGTGACTTCTATCAGTGTTCAGCAGAGCACTAGCTAAAGCTTGAAAGAGGAGTTTTCATTCTGCTCTGGCTGTCTTATGAGGCTGAATAACCCCTGACCCTCTGTCTGGACAGCACAGAGTTATGACTAAGCACATGTTATTTGTGTGAAACGCGTTACCTTGTCCCTGTCCTTACATTGGAGTTGTGATCTTTATTGTTTTTACATGAAGAATCAATAAACTGACGTTTTATCTGTTACATTCATGAAGTGCGGTCAACTCTCTGATTGGCCCTGTACTAATCACATGCGCCCTCCCAACGAAAAAAAAAAACGCTTTAGTAATACTGTACACACTAAATTGAGCATGTGCAGAGTGACTCCTAGAGCTCTGTGCTATCAGCAGATTGATTGGGGATAGTAGTAGGATCAGAGAAGTCCAGGATCAAACAGCCTTTTTACACAATGCGGGGATTAACCCCTTAGGTTCCACAGTGAGCATAATAAGCATGCTATACTGCATATACAGACTGATTTTACTGTTCTGGGTTTAGTAACATTTTAAAGTGGAGTTCCACCCAAAAGGGGAAGTTCCGGTTTAATGCTATGTCCCCCGCTCCCCATTAAGGATTGGCACCTTTGGGGAGCGGGTACCCGAATCTGACAGGTACCCACTCCCACTTCTGCTGTGAACGCCTAGGCAAGCAGAAGTTGTCCTCCCTTCCCTCCCCATAGTCTTCTGGGACACGTGACAGGTCCCAGAAGACTACGGGGCCATTCACAAAGCGCAGCGCTTCTCGCGCAGTGGTCACCTGGCTGTGAAGCCGCAAGCTGTCACAGTTGGGTGCCCACGCTAAAGATGCTGGCGCCAGGGAGAGAAGACTGCCGGTGAAACCAGCGGTGGTGAGGACTCCGCCGGACCGAGGGTCTGTATTGTAAAAGTCAGCAGCTACAGTTTTTGTAGCTGCTGACTTTTATTTTTTTTTTTCGGCTTTAAGTACCCTTCCAGCAGCAGGGTCCAGGTGGAGCTGATTATCAAAAACTGCTGGCCGCCAGGAGACACCTAGTGGTGGACATTGAAATCTATAGCTTTCTGCTCAGCGAACCACAGTGCTACCAGCAGGTGAACCAGGTCCTGACAAAAATGCACCCTACCACTGCTTATAATGCTGGCCTCTAAGCATCTCCTGACTTGCTGTTGGCCCATGTTGACTGTTTAGGTTTGTATCACTGTTCTCTGCCCAACTGCCAAATTGTGCCATTCTTTAATAGCAAGTGCTAATTCTCATGTTCCACTTTATCACGGTTTATTATCTTCTCTTATACTAGTGAGGCTTAATTGACAACAATTTCTTTCACAGTATGGCTGAAAAGTGATATTTGTAGAGTGTGTGAATGATAGAGAGAAAGAGAGTAGTAGTAATAACAGCAGTAGTAGTAGTAGTAATTGTAGTAGATTGGAGCAGAATAAAATTGTTTTATTTAATTTGCACAAGATGATTATATTTCATTTTTGTAATGAGTGGTCATTAATGTTTGCATGAAAAAGGTTTTTTTTTTTTTGTTAAAATTGTTTACTTTAGTCAAACTTTGTGCATGTATGAGGCAATTCAATTTAATTAAAATAAAGTACATATATTCATTTCACGCAAAGTTTTTTTTATTTGATTATTTCTACAGAGGGGGGCCATAGCTTTTATCATAATATTAAAGGGGTCTGTGACTCAAAGGTTAGGAACCACTTTATAAGCTCATACAGACAGGGCTTCCTTTCCTGATGCTTCTTATTATTTTACAGCTGTATACACTTTTCTTTGGGATATTTGACATATTACCCTTTCTTGTCATATTTATTATATATTATATAATGCCATAGGAGTTAATGACACTATATACAGTACATCAATAATAACTATTATTTTATTTTTCTTGCTATACTTATGTTTTATTTTATGTCTTATCATTACAGGATCATCATCACAAGATAGAAACTAAGGATGCAAAATGTATAGTAACCACACTTTAATAGAACGTTTTATTCTCTTAGGTTTCTCCCTTGACAAAAGCACTCAGTTGTTTTTATTTGTCTTCTTTCTAAGTATTTACTCTATGACTTTGATGTCCAACCTGCTCATAATCACCCTGGTGACATTCCAGAGATCACTTCACAAACCAATGTACTGTTTCATTGGAAATTTCTCTTTCCTTGAAATGTGGTACACAACTGTTACTGTTCCCAAGATGCTAACAAACTTAGGTACAGGAAATAAAACTATCTCTACTAGAGACTGCATTTCCCAGTTCTACTTTCTGTTCTTCCTTGGGGCCACACAACATTTTCTATTGACTATAATGGCCTATGATCGATTCTTGGCCATTTGTTACCCACTACGCTACACCACCCTAATGAGTAGATCTATCTGTAGAAAGCTTGTAGCTATGTCTTGGCTTGCTGGCTGCCTATCCATCTCTCTGCCTGCTGTTATGATGACACAGTTAGTGTTCTGTGGTCCAAACACAATAGACCATTTCTTCTGTGACTTCAGTCCTCTACTCCAGTTATCCTGTACAGAAACGTGGCTGAATGAGATCATCTTTTCTGCAGTAGCTTGGACAGTTATTCTTGGATGCTTCACCTTCACATTTATGTCCTATGTTTCTGTGATCATTACTATCTTGAGGATACCTTCTTCTCTTGGCCGCCAAAAGGCATTTTCCACTTGTGCATCTCATCTTGCCGTTGTTGGCATATTTTTTGGAACAGTCATTTTTATGTATATACGTCCAAAAGCAAAGAATTCTTCCCCAGTGGACAAAGTTGTGTCTGTATTTTATTCTGTTATTGTTCCCCTTCTCAACCCTATGATCTATAGCCTGCGAAATAAGGAAATGAAAAATGCACTGTTCAGAGCTATATCCAAGTTAAAAGGAAAATAACTCCTATGACTGTCACGAATATCAATTTTTCTATGAAAAATTACTTCTTTGCAACATAATGGAAAATATTCTGCATATTTCTGCATATCGTATTATGAAAGGAAAATCAGCACATACTGTATATTAGATGGATGTTCCACTGAAGCAGTGGAAAACCTTTAGGTCTGGAGGAGTCCTTTACATTGGGGACTTTTGAACCTTTGGACTTTCACTCTATAGCATCAATGGTCCTGTAGCACAAGGGCTTGAATCAGAACACCAGCCAAAAATAACACAATAAAAATGAATTAAAAATGATTTAATAAAACCAGCTTTTGCTGCAATATTTGTCTTCAATCCAGAGCTTAAGCCAGTACTTTTTTCTGCCAAAAGATGTCTTTAGTTTTATGACCAGCATCATTTAAACCTCTTCATCTGAGCTCAGGTTATTCTGGACCTGCCCCAGCCTGTAACTGAAAAGTAAAAGGAGAAGCAGTACAGTGATGGGTTTGTTTCTCTAACATTCTGCTTTTTTCATGCTATCAGCATGTTCCTTGTCGGCACATGAACCATTTGGTTCCTTGTACTACGTCTTTCTCTCACACTCCAGCCCTGCTGTACAGGGACTGGGCAAGGCTGACACTAGGTCAAATTCAGGTAGCTACATTGCTTGCCCTCTAAAAATTAATGTTTTAAAGTGGAACTTTAAAGCTAAAAAAAAATGGGTGTGAAGGAGCAGTTTACTAGAGAAATTTGTAAATGCCAAAGCTGACTGTACTTCTGGGCACGTGCAGGAACGAAGTCACCCCCACCGGGCCAATGAAAGCAGCCAGCGATGGAGACCCAGAAGCCGACCGCCCGAAGATGTCAGCTGCCGGTGGGGACCTCCGAGACATTGCATCGCTGGATCCAAGATAAGTATAGTTCCACTTTATTTGATTACAGAGCTGCATTAATTTGTGTCTTTAATAACTGCCTATAATTCAGCTTTAACTGAGTGGCTTTTGTCTTATTCAGAAAGCTGACACGGGGAACCTTAGAAACCCTCGTTTCAATCTATCAAATGCTACAATTCCAAAAGGTAATACCTCTTCTGTTGTATATAACGGATGGAGGAAACCTAACGAAAGACCGGTATAATTACGATGGTAGGCTGTCTTAAGTCCTTCTTCTTTTTTTTTTTTTATTTTATTGGAATGTTTTTTTGTCTGTAGTTGAAGATAAAGACAGCTCACTTCATCTCAAACTGTACAAAATGTGTAAAACATTTTTTAGTAAACCTCAACCTTATGGAGGATTTGTCTGGAGGTCCTGGCATGTGTTTCGCTTTTTGGATTCCATTTTTAAGGACAGTGTAGTTTCACAGATAACTGAATATTTGTGTGAGGTATATTCTGTAGTACCAAATTGCAAGTATAAATGAGGTACTTTTTTCTAAAAGTAAGTATGATTTGTGCCATCTGGCCTACATGGGTCTGGTTTTTTTACATTTACCTATCAATATACAAATGTAGTCAATTAGGAGGCAAGACAAGGAGAGCGGGGTCTGGGTCAATTTGACTCATAGTGAATACATTTTACAATGTAACGTGTCTATGATTTTTTTTCAAGTTATATTAAAGACAAGTAAAACCAAAAACATGTTATACTTACCTACATTGTGCAATGATTTTGCACAGAGCAGCCCTAATCCTACTCTTTCTGCATTCCCTGCTGCCACTCCTGGCCCTTTCCTCCTGCTGAGTGCCCGCAGAGATTGCTATGGGGGCACCCAAGCAGGCTCATTCCCAAGCCGCTGCCCTGCATGTCCATTTACACACAGAGCCGCAGCTCAGCCCCACCCTACTCACTGGCTGTGATTGAAAGCAGTGGGATCCAATGGCTCCTGTTGCTGTCTCCGCTAATGAGGAGGAAGTGTTCACGAAGAGCAGAGGCTCTTGTGCACATCATTAGATCGCGATGGGGCTCAGATAAGTATTAGGGGGGCTGCTGCACACAAAGTTTTATAACCACTTTAAGTGCACAAAAGTTACTTTCATTGAGCAAATTAAAGCGTTGCTAGCATATTAGCACATTATGAAAGACTTACCTTAGAACCAAGCCCTCCAGTGATGTGCTGACACCACTGACAGGGCTTCCATCTTCACCTGGTCTTCATTCCGGGTTTACGGACTTCGGCTGTTTGACTGGCTGATCCACTTTAAATTAACACAACTCCTCCGACACAATATTTCTTCTACTCCACTTTAGGGGCAGACTGACAACTCATGGGGCCCCCGGGCAATAGGGGATCATGGGGCCCCTGTGTCCTTGCCCAAACTCAAAAAAGCCTATGAAAAAGGTACCAGGGGCATCTGATGGGGCCCCCTACTGACCCCAGGCCCTCGGGCAATGCCCAAGTTTCCAAATGGTCAGTCCGCCCCTGCTCCACTTTGATCCTCACTTCCTTCCGCAGCAAAGCAATCACAGATCAGATCATATGTAGAAGGTGCACACGCACCCTACCCGCGCCGACATTCGCGACTGTCAATCACCGGGTCCCGGCTGGTGATTGCCGAGCATCTTCGACAGGGAGGAGAACTGTTTCTAAACAAAACAGTTCTCCTCCCTGTCAGCTCGTGCACACTGCTTTGGCTGTCAGTGCTTTTTTTTTTTTTTTTTTAGCACTGATCACTATATTGGTGTCACTGGGGATTTCCGTGACACCAAGTCAGTTCCCCCCAGTTTCAGAATGCCCGCCGTAGTCCCGCTATAAGTCGCTGATCGCCACCATTACTACTAAAAATAAATAAAATCCCAGTATATATATATACTGCCATTTGTAAACGCTATAACTTTCATGTAAACCAATTAATTTACATGTATTGGGATTTTTTTTTTAGCAAATACATGTAGCAGAATACATTTTGGCCTAAATTTATGCCGAAATTTGATTTTTTAATTTTTTTTAATGAACATGTTTAATAGCAAATCGTCAAAAATATTGTTTTTTTTCCTCAAAATTGTCAGTCTTATTTTTAGCGCAAAAAATAAAAACACACAGGCGATCAAGTACCACCAAAAGAAAGCTCAATTCGTGGGAAAAAAAAAGGACAAATTTCATTTGGATGAAGCATTTTATGACTATGCAATTGTCAGTTAAAGCGCCGTAATGCAAAAAAATGGCTTGGTCGGGAAGGGGGGTAAATCCTCAAAAGTCCTACCAGGCCTAAAGTGTTTTTGTTTTTTGTTAATAAAAATTTTAATTGAAAAAAAATGTCAGTCCTGCTGCAGCATGATATTTAAAGGAATTTTTCTTTTTTTGTTACTTAAAAATGACTGCCCCTTTTAAAAATGTTACTTTTGAAAAAAAAATTTTCATTGATTCATGTCCCTCAGGGCAGTATCTGAGTCCCCATACCCCTTTTATGGCCAAAAACTTGCATATAAGCCTTCAAAATAGGCACTTTTGAATTTACAAGTTTGGTCCCATAAACTTGCATTTTGTTCGAAGTTCACAGTCCAACTTTCTTTAGGTTTGAATGTTTGACAGCAAACCGAACAGGGGGTCGTTTGCCCATCACTAGGCCCAGAGCACAAATCCAGATGCAGTTGGGTCAATCCAAAAAATGTTGAAAAGCGGAATAAGACGTGACACCTGTTGTTGTGTGTTTTTTTTTTTTTTTTTTTTCTTTGTCCTTCCTGTCCTGGCCAACCTGCCCTCTGCATCAAGGCCATTTTCTGTCCCTACCACACCGTAGTGGACTTTTACTCTAGGGTACAGCACGCTTTCTAAAGATGTTAGATAGTCAGGAAACTATCACCTTTTGAGAGACCCTAAAATCAAATACTTGAAAGGTTATTTTTCTGAAAGGTTAATGTTACAAAAACAGTTTAAAAAAGTAAAATAGGGTGCTGCTCTCAGAATACACGTCAGTGCCTGCAGTGCTGTAGAGGGAGAAAAAAATGTGTATACCTAAGCATTAGGAGCATGGGTTGGTCAGTCGGTAGCAGCTACTATGCTTTTGCTTATTTATGGCAGAGATTTCTTCATTCACAGCAGGGGTAGTTAATCCTGGGAATTACCAAATTGCCTCCCGGGCGATCAAGAAATAATTTTTTCCCCCAACTGGAGTGAACTGGATTATGCTTTATTGGGGTATTTGTTTTGCCTTCCTCTGGATCAACTGTGAGTATAGATTGTATGCACATGGGAGTTTCCAATATCTCTTTCTTGTTGGTTGAACTAGATGGACTAGTGTTTTTTTTTATGCTATGTAACATCAATCACTGTGAATGGAGTAATCTGTTCTTTTTTTCTTATGCCCAGGATTAGGAGTTTGGGGTGATCTGCAGACGGTAGTTCCTATGCTTTAGCATGTACTTTTTTCACTTTTTTCTGGTAGAGATTTCTTCATCTACCGTATTTTTCACTCCATAAGACGCACCTGACCCTAAGACGCGCCTAGGTTTTAGAGGAGAAAAACAAGAAAAAAAATATTCTGAACCAATGGACTGCAGACACAGTACAGGAGACGACCAGAGACTGCGGACACAGTACAGGAGACGACCAGAGACTGCGGACACAGTACAGGAGATGACCAAGAGACTGCAGACAGTACAGGAGATGACCAAGAGACTGCGGACCTTTGGGGAGAGAGGGGGAGCGGATACCTGAATTTGACAGGTACCCGCTCCCACTTCCACGGAGTTGTGCTCCCTTTAGTGCGGGCACCCGGCACTGTGCGTGCGCGAGAAGCGCTGTGCTTTGTGAATGGCCCAGCATCTTCTGGGACCTGTCATGTGTCCCAGAAAACGCCGGGTGCCCACACTAAACATGCCGGCGTGGGAAGACTGCACAGTGCTGGACCGAGGAACAGGTAAAGTTCTGCTGCACAGAAGAGTTGAGTGGCCGGCCCGGAATTCTGACACGGTGGTGGTGGTGAAAATACCGGACCAGCCGCTCCATATTCACTCCATAAGATGCACTGACATTTTCCCCCCTTTTTTGGGGGAAAAAAATTGTGTCTTATGGAGCGAAA